CTATCAAACATCTGTCGTCCTTATCTCCCCTTCTTCTTTTTTATGTTTGTTACTCTCTTGTAACACCTCTAATCTTCTGGCGCTCATATGACCTTATGCAGTTGCGAGCGTAAAACCTCTACTAAAACTAAAAAAACTAGGAGCACTTCTTTATTTGTTTTCCTCTCTGGCCATGACATTCTGGGCATCCTCCTGCACATTTCTTCAGCTTCCAATCTTCTCTCTGTGTCACCGTCCAGCTCTCACATCCATATACAAGAATTGACCACACATGCGTTTTCAGAGTTTTTATTTTTGTTTTCACTGTTACGTTTCTTTTTGGGAGGACAAATGTCATCTTGTAGAAAATTGTTAAGAAGTTACTAACTTGTGTTTCGTTTTCCCAGGATTTTCTGTGCATTAGATACTTATAGTAGGTTGCAAATACTTTCTATAGGGGCTGTGTTCATACTGAACAAGTTGTCTCAGTCATTATCAAAACTTAATTTTGCCAACCTATTTGTTAACAAGGAGGATGTAAAAATCCCTCCAGACTTTTTAGATCACCATTTAATATTGTTCTAGAGGACATGTCCTTCTTTTGTCCAAATCTATTTAGATCTTTTTTAACGTTCGGTTTTCAGATTTTGCCTCTGCTGTGAAGTTCTTAAACAAATGATGAGCATTATTTTTATGTGCTTGTTGGCAGCAGTATCTCATAGAGACATGGTGAGAAAGAGACAACATATAGAATGTCCCTTATATTCTCATGATAACAGATTTAAGAAATGTAAAATGTACCCCCCCAAAAAAAAAGGACAGATAGATACAGTGGAGTCTATTGAAGCTCAACATGGTCAATCCGAAAACAGCGGTAAACCAAAAGAAAATGAAATCCCTGACTGATTTTTTTCTTCTTTCTATTTTTAGCAACCTCTTCCAAAACCTGGCTGTACCCAAAAAACTGGCGGTCCGACAGGCTTTGGTTTAAGTGGCACCACTGTATATGTTTATACGTAGTACCATATAACAAAACTAAATTCATTGTTTAAAAGTTTCTTAAATTTTTTTTTAAGGAAAGCGATTTAGTAAATTAAAAATAAAGAAAGATCTTTCTTTTCTTTCTTTTATCCGCCGCTTATACCCTTTTGGGTGTCGCGGGAAGAAAGAGACGTCTCTCTGTCGCCAGCCGGAGAGCTTGGGTTAGGGTGATACCGTGGGTGGTTAATGTTTCCCTGACTCCATCTATCCAGGTCTTTCTCGGTCGCCCTCTAGCCTTGTTGCCATCAATTTTTTTAAATGTAGGCACGTTGTGCTGGATGGTGTGTTGCTAATCGTAGGAGATGTCCGAACCATTTGATTCTTTGGTGTTGGGTGTGATGCATGACATCATTTGTGCCCACCATTTCTCGGATTACTGAGTTTCTAATTTAGTCTCACTTGGTCTTGTTTACTGCTTTTCTAAGGCATTGCATTTCACATGTTGTAATTCTTTGCTCTAATGTCTTATTCGTGGTCCATATTTGCCATTGATAAGTGAGTGTTGGGATGAATATGGTGTTGATCATTTTGAGTTTTGTTGTCATGGGGATGTTAGGATGTTTCAGTAGTGGACTAAGCTGGTAACTAACATTATTGGCCTTTTTTACTCGTGTTTCAATTTCTCTGTTCAGTCGCCCATCCTCTGTGAATATACTTCCGAGGTATTTAAATTCTTGGACCTGTCTGAGACTGTTGTTGTTGATGTGTATCCTGAGTGGTTCTGGCTTTCTGTTTACTTTCATTGTCTCTGTTTTGTTGATGTTGATTTTCATGTCGTAGTTGTTACATTCTTCGTTTAATCTGGTGGTGTGGTGTTGGAGACTTTGGTCATCAGCGAAGAGTAATTCATTTAGGGTGTCTGGTTTTGTGTTGGCCTCTTTTGTAATTCTATTCATATATATGATAAATAGTAGTGGTGATAGGACACAACCTTGTCTTACTCCGGGATGTTATCTCGAACCATTCTGTGAGTCCCTCCTGACATTCTTACTGTACTTATGCTGTTCTCGTAAATGGCACGGATGTTAAGATAAAGAAAGATAAAAGACTTAATAAGGATCATCGTATTTACTTGTTTGCTTTCACAGAAATGAAAAAGGCAGCACAGCCTGTACGCCTTGCTTGCCTGGGCATTTTGCTGAGCTGGCAGGATCTGCAGACTGCACCCCGTGTCCTGCAGGTGATTATTTTTTGTTCTTTCATTGTTTTGTCTCTGCATGATGCACTATGAACTGACCTCTTCCCCCTACTGTGGTTTTGTTTGGAGCGGGGAGTGAAACTGTTCACCCTTTGAGCCCTGACCTCCTGAGGTTACTGTGCTCCTCTGCCTGAGCTCCTGAAGGATTCACGCCTTCATTCAATATCATTGTCAAAATCACATTCCATATCCCCCTCGGGGTAGTCCTCGTCATTACCAGCTTCTAATTCAGAAAGATCTTCAAAATAATCAATAACATCCTGTGTAGTAAACACTGGTTTCCGCCTGCGTTTTGTCCCAGACGTGCTGGTTTGGGGAAAGGGTCTCTCTGGTTCACCAGTGTACCGGTGGCTCGGCATACGGGCAAATTCACGTGCCACCTGTGTACCAGTGGCAAGGGCTCAAATGGTTAAACCTGCTGCTTACCTGCTGGATATAGATGCAACCCTTCAAATGGGAGATAGCGCATGAGAAGGTTCATACTGAGACACTTATGTGTTATATTTGAAGTGCTATATTTATTTTAGTGTCTAGTCTCTGCCTTCTTTCCTATCTTCTTCTGCCTTGGAAAAAGCTTCTTTATGTAAAGTTAGGTGTTCAATTCCTACCCAAAAAATCCTCCAAAAAGTACAGACGCAGATTTTTCTCTGGTAACTCTGACTCATTAGCAGGTATTTTTTGGGGGGGTTGAACAGTGGATACCGGTTGGATTTTGCTGATCTGTCACAGTGTTTTCTCTAATGTGAGACTTTCATATTGGCTGTCTGTGTTGGTCTTAGAAGAGGGATTGAATCATTAAACAACAGTCATATGAAATAGGGATATCGAAAGAAGAGTCTTATTTACAAGGGGCGGATGGTTCATGACATATTAGTAGTCCTTTGAGATTTCAGTCCGTCTGTCTTTGGGTCAAAGAAGGTTGAAGTGAATTTGTTGTGACGTTTTGAATTTCTTTTAAAACTTATGGTTTTCTTTCTTTTTTTTTCCACGCATTGAGACCTGCAGTCCCGTCTCGGACTTAGACCGCCAACAAGACCTTTCCACATATTTCGATCCAGGGCCAGTTTCTCCAGCTGTCTTCACGTATGCCCCAACCCCCTTGTGTCCTCTGCCACTTCTCTGCATCATGTGTTCTTTGGTCGAGCCCACTTCCTTTTCCCTTTTCAGATTTTTTTTTTTTGCACACAGAACAACTTTATGCCTTTCCTCGAAAACCATTTTTCACTCACTTTCATAGTGTCACAGTTACGCTTTTTGCCTCACTGGCAATAGACAAGATTCCGATTTTCTCATTGAGAAAATATTTTATGTAGTAGACATATCTTGGCCTTTTTTCCCAAATGTGTCTCACACTGCATGGGCTGGCCTGACTGGAAGGGTCGATTCAGCTCACCTTTTTAATAATCAGATTCGTTTTGAGGTGACTAAGAACATAGGTAGCAGCAAGAGTCTAGGTTGAGCATTTTCCCTGGAGTTCAACTGTTAATTTTTTTACTTTCTCTTTTATTTAGATTTGTCTATATGGATCTCCATTGATGGTATTTTCCTTGTTCTCTGTCTTCTTTGGAATTTTTATTTGCTTTTTTACTTTTTCACGAGTTTTGCCATTTCAATTTAATTTTAAAAAAGCAACTCATTTTAACAATCATCTCTCTCTATGAACAAACATTTATTGTATAATAGACTTTAATTTGTTACTCTTGGTTTGAAAAGGTGAATATTTCGATTTAATTTGCTTGGACAGAGTATTTATCACAGTCCTCGATAGATAGTCAGGTTTGAAAAGTGTCTTTAATCTGTTGTAGCTATTTTCCTCATCGGTATGTGCACCTTGTGGCTTCTCGTTTCAATTTTTGTCTCTTTGGCCTTAGGATCTGTCGGTTTGTTTTGCAAAAAAAATCCAAAATTATTAATTAACCCTTTGATTTTGAATCCTGAAGCAAGCTCCCTGAAATTCAAGGGTACAATGAATTATCTGACTTCCAAATAGTCACTTTATTGACTAGTGAAATTTCTGGGGTTAAAAGAGAAGTAGGGTATCTCCCTGCTCTCTCAACTACAGTGATTGGCTTGCTGATAGTGGATAATATCTTTCAGATAAAATAGACCTGTCATGCTGTTCTAATTAGTACTGACAACGTACTGATTGTTTTTGACATATCGCCTACATGTGCTTTGCATAGTTTTTATCTATCAGCTGTTCAAATTGTCTCAGAGAATGATGATGTACAGAAAAGTGAAAAGACATGAAATAATATCAAGTGGTTAGTCGGGGCGGGGTAGGGGAAAATGGAATGTGTTTGTTTGTGGTCTATACCCTGAGGAAAGCTATGATTACGTAATCGTGTGGCCTTTTATATCTTAGAAGGACAGAGAAGGATTTTTAAAAACAATTTTATAAAGGGGATGGACAAGCACAGCCCAGGGTTCAACTTTGCCCTACAAAGAGATTTCGATTTGCCTTTGCACATCATGTATATAACGCTGATCTTTGCTTCATTTTTAAAGAAAAAACCCACATAGTCTTGAGACCTGAAAATTTACAAGAAAGAAGGATTCAGTATTCCTAAGAACATGATGGAGCTGGATTTTCATGGTTTTAAGCTATTTTTAGATAAAAATGTTAGGTTTTGATAGCTATGTATCATTATAAAATACTCTAGAATTGAGCCATTGCTTTTCAGTTCTTTAGCTCTTGGTGCTGAAGGGACATGGGCAGCAAGTTGAATATAATGTAGATGCCCCTTTATGAGCAATTCTTTCAACTTTTAACTCAGAAAACAAGCTTTCAGACGGAAGAGAAAGATTGCCAACTCCAGTTTTTGTTATTAACCTAGATGTGTGAATGTGTATGTGGTGTATACCTGCATCTTTGTCAACATCTATTGAAAGGTGTTAAAAAAACTATACTCTAAATTTGACTGGGTTTTTTTTCTTTGTCATAGTGCCCCCTAGTATTTAGCATTGTGAAAGTATTGAAAATGTACAAAGTATGTATGTCCTGTTTTCAGAATGTGTTATGTTACAGAGTTAAAATGACTACAGATGTGGGTGGTTTGCGGATGCTTTGGTGTGGTTTGATCTGTCTTTCCTATCAAACATCCATCGTCCTTATATCTCCTTTCTCTTGTTTTGGTATGTTACTCTCTAGTAACACCCTTAATCTCACCCCCCTGGGCGGTGCCACTGACTGAAGTGTCTTTTGGCCATTCCCAAAGGGAGGGACATTAACATCTCGAGTTCTTATGCACTGTAGAATTGTAATTGTAAATGGGCTGATTCATCAATGTCATGCTTATAACTGTGCCTGAATTGCAACAGGGAACTGCTGCTTTTTCTTTTCTAATCCTTACTATTGTCATTTTCCCTCTACTTCTTTTGTATGTTTGTCACACTCTTGTGACCCGCTATTTCTGGGGTGCCTTGATAGTCGAAGCAGGCTTTGTGCTTTTGAAGCTAGAGAGGTGAGCAGAGTAAGTCTGATTCCCTGTAAGGACTTCTCTGTTGACATCCACCCCTTGGCCCTCGTATGACCTTATGCAGTTGCGAGCGCTGTAAAACCTCTACTAAAACTAAAACCCCTAATCTCGACACTTATATGACCTATTTGTATTGCAAGCGCGGTAAAACTCTTGCTAAAACTTAACTAAACCGACTCCAGGTGAGGCTGTCAATACTGAAGAGGCCAGTAAATGCTTCCCTTGTGACCCTGGGTTTCACCAGCCAGACACAGGACAGCCAGACTGCTTGCCTTGTGGCAAAGGCCACTACGCTAACGGAACAGGACATGTGAACTGTTCAGCTTGTGATGAAGGCTATTTTTGTAGGTGAGATGAGCGCAGTGTTTAATTTATTTGTTTAGTAGAAAACTTTTTGTTGTATTGTCGGCCCTAAAGTTTGATTTTTCAGTCCAGTTTCTTTCCCTGTTGTTAAAGAATCTTTTTTCTTTTTTCTTTTTTTTTTTTTTTGGTTCTTAATTCCTTTAAAAGCTTTGTACTTTTCTTCTCTGAAAGTGAGCTGTACTGTTATACAAAGTATTTATTAATAAAAAAACCCAAACAACTAAGATATAATCGGTAGTATTGATGTAATTGTTTCGTTTGCACTTCAAGTTCACCTGTCAAGGTATGTTGTCTTATTTTATAGTGTCGAAATATGCCATTTGAATTTTATGTTAGATAAAGGTTTACAGTAGCCGTTTGAATATGTTAGATAAACATTTACAGCCGTTTGAATTATGTGTTAAATAAATGTTTACAGCCATTTGAATGATATTTTAAATAAAGGTTCACAGCCATTTGAACAATGTGTTAAACATTTACATTCATTTGAATGATATGTTGTTAAATAAACGTTCACAGCAGGGAGGACTGCACAGAATGTATGCCTTGTCCGAAGGGACAGTACTCTAATACCACGGCTAGCGCTGAGTGCACCAAGTGCTCTCCGGGTAAGGTTCTTTTTTTTTCCTCCCCTGGTGCCATTTCCCTTTTCTTTTGACTCCACTTGGTTGGTGATCTATGAATTGTGTATACATCAAATGAATTGAAATTTCCATGCTTGTTTATATTTGGTTTCCAATTCTTTCTTTTCTTGTTAGGTAGAGCTACTAGTTATTAGGTATAGACTGCTAATGTCTGATAGTCAATGTGGGACAAGATGCTTGCTCCTTTAAAAAAAATTCACACATGACATGATTCCTACTGATGTTATGGTTTTGGGGTGGAAATGAAAGGAGACTTTAGGGTGTAGCGGGGTGCCAATTTTAGAAAGAGAGAGAAAGAGAAAGAGAGAGGGAGGGAGGGAGAGAGAGTGAGTTAGTGAGTGAGATAATGAGTGAGTGAGTTAGTGATTGAGTTAGTTAGTGAATGGCCTACAAATTTAAGTACCCACACTAAAACTGCAATAACTTTCCCTCCAAACTGCTACAAAATTAGCGGACACACAATAATCATACAGAAGTGCACGGACGGTAACTCAATATTAGGTTTTGTTTTTGAACTTGGAAATGATGGACTGGAGCAAGTTCTAGAGAGACATCAATGGATTTGGGTTTTCTCGTAGTCAAATGGCTGCCTGGATAACGAGTATTCTCGTAGGCCGTCAGCAATAAGTTAATACTGCAGGAGAAACTGTACGGGCCAACATGAGAACTGAGCAGGACATCCCAGTATAATACGGGGTGCCTATTGGGGGATCGGGTCAGGGCGTTTGCTAGCCAGATTGAGGGCACAAAACGGCTTTCGTGGCACAAGCCGATCGCGCCCAAGTCGTCGCCTAAAAAAAAAAAGAGTTTGTTTTCAAGCAACGAGTAGGGCGATCGCCTCCGACCCGACACGATCCCATCCGCAATGGGCACCCCGTATAAGATAGATGTCAGGTTTAAATGTGATGCCATCGAGAATAAGAAGAAGAAGAACTAGTTTGTGATACTAAAGCAACAGGATCGAAAACTAATGACTTTTGTTAGACATTACATTGTTACCATAGCCTCTAAAAATAGGTCTATGACTGTTATGCATTGGTAGTCTTCTAATGGTCATATTTAAATTATCATCAGGTTCTCAGCAGTCTAAAAAAGGAGGAACAACCTGTAATCCTTGCCCTCCTGGTTTTGATGCAAAGTAAGTGTGTATTTTTCAAACTGTGGGGAGGAGTTTGTTCACATTTTCAGTAAAAGTAGCTTGTTTTTGCTGTTTTAGTGAGAGTTAAATGGCTCTTGCAATGCAGTTAAAAAGTGCCAAAAATTAGAAGTGTTACAGGGATACCAGATCTCCGTTTCTTCTGGCTTTTTCCATTTTTTTCTTTCAAATACTTGATTTTGTTTACTCATTTAAAAGCTTTATAAGGTTCGTTTTAGGTGAGATGTGATGCTCCGCTCATTTTCAGTTTTTTTTGGGAAAAATCATTTGGCATCCCTGGTGTTAAAATAGAGTAACATACAAAGAAAAAAAGAACAGTTAAGGATGATGAAATTTTGATGGTAAAGAAGGAGTAAACCATGCTAGAGCACATGTCAACCATCCACAAAGTATTGTGATTTTGGGGATAGGGGGAGGGGAGGGGGGGGGGTGTTGAAAGTTCAGATTTGGATAAAAATTATCGATTTTGAGATGTGGGCTTTTTTGGCATAGCAGATCTGGTGTAGTGGCTTCTTACCTATGAAGTATATAATGACAAAAGATGTTTGTGTCTATGTTATTTTTGTGGGTGGTTGGCGGGTGCTCTGGTGTGGTTTGCTCCTTCTTTCCTGTCAAACATCTATCGTCCTATCATCTATCTATCCCTTCTTCTTTTTTATGTTTGTTACTCTCTAATAACACCTCTAATCTTCTGGCGCTCATTTGACCGTATGCAGTTGCGAGTGCCGTAAAACCTCTACTAAAACTAACTTATATATTTTTTTTCTCCTATCCTAGGCTAGTACAAAACCTTTCTTTGCTACAAATGTGCAAACTCTTGTGGTAGGTCTTTTTTGTGCACAGTGAGGTCTGCATGTTTTTCGTGAAAGAGATGAAAAGATGTTGAAATAGATGGAGGCAGGATTTTAACTTAGGGGCTGGTATGGTTGTTTAAAAACTGAAGCCAAGAGAGAAGCCTGCATGCTCAGTACACACATCCACAAGTGGAAATGAAGCTTTTAAATGATCAGAAACTTTTTTTCTAACAGAACTGGTCCCAATGGCCCCTGTATATGCTGCAATGATCTTCTCCCTCATTTCTTCAATTTTTCTTTTAAGAAATATTCTTCTCAGCAGATGCATTGGTTATCATCAGCCAGACAAACTTTCATTATATTATTATTATTAATATTATTATTATTATTATTTTGGTAGCGTATGTTTCAGATTTTTTATGAACTCCTCATTTATATAGGTAATTTTTATATTGTTTCAGAATTTGATAAATTGAGTATTGGAATGGCTTGCAGTTTACAATAATATAGTTAAATGTAATTTTTCAGGATTTGATTGATGAGGTCTCTCTAAAGTATTATCTTACACAGACAAACTTACGACTGTTGATACAGAGAATATGTTACAGACTTCATGGTTTATCTTGGGTCTTCCAAGTTGAATAGATTTTGCATTCAGATGAGTGATTCTGTAGTTTATTTGAATTTGATAAATTGATGATAAAGAGGGAGACCCTGATGTTGAATTTCGATGTTTCAGAGGGACAGGAGCCTTTAACTGCTCTGGATGCCGAGTCGGCACTTTCAAAAATGAAAGTGGCTTCAGTCTGTGTGAGGACTGTTCTCCAGGTTGGTATATATGGGATCATAACACTCCAGCATGCCATTTTCTTTTGCAAATTTTTATATTCTTGCATGTTCACGGATTCCAGGAATCGATTTTCATTTAGTAAAAACTTGATTTGAAGTGAAAATGAGCTTCATTTTTTATGCTACCAACTTTGTTCATGTGGTATCACATTTCAGTGAATTTTATTTTGTTTCATTAAATGAAAAATGCTCTCACTGAATGACTAATGTAGTCTGACATTACTAGTGTCAGGTCTTGTTGAAAAGTGACATTAACTTTGTTAAATAAAATCTTTTGAATAGTTTCTTTTTTTTTTTTAAATGTGTGAAGTAAAAGACAGTAAATGCCAAATGTTCCACAGAAATAAAACGGAGAATTGCAATGTCTAAGGCTAGTTTCAACAAAATGAGCCCAATTCAGACAAATAGAAACATCTCAATGACCACCAAAATGAAAGTTCTGAAATAACATATATGGTCAACCCTTCTCTATGGCTGCGAATGCTGGACAATCACTAAAGACGGTGAAAATAAAATAGAAGCAACATAAATGTGGTTTCTTGGGAGACTGCTGAGAATATCGTGAAAGGAAAAGAAATTGAATGAGGTAGTGCTTGATGAAGCCCAGGTGGGACACTCACGGTTAGAAACAATCAGGAAACGACAAATGCAGTTTTTGGGACACCTGAATAGACATAAAAGTCTTGAACATCTAGCTCTCACTGGCAAAATTAAAGGCAAACAAGGCAGGGGTAGGCCCAGAGCAACCTACTTAGGGAACCTAAACAAATGGGTAACCGGGTAAGTTCAGAGAAACATAGTTTTTTTAAGAGCATCCGAGCAAAGGAATGAATGGAGAACCATAATCACTAATGTCTGCCGCAGATCTGGCACTGAATGAATGAAGGATGTGATCCTTGTATACAATTTTTTTCATAAAAGCCTTAAGAAGACCAATTTTAGATGAAGTGCATTTCTTAGTGGTCAAATGTCCAGATGATTCCTCTTTGTTGTGGGTGGTTTATGTGTGCTCTGGTGTGGTGTGCTCCTTCTTTCCTATCAAGCATCTGTCACTCTTATCTCCCTTCCATCTTCTATTTGTGTGCTACTCTCTTGCAACACATCTAATCTTTGGCACTTATATGACATGTTTATGTTGCAAGTGCAGTAAATCTCTTTACTGAAACTTAAAAAACAAAACAAAACAACAACAACCGAAAAAACCCCTAAAAAATCTCTTTCTTGTTTCAGGGCATTTCGCAGGCAAGGTGAACAGCACCTCCTGTGATGAGTGTGAGGAGGGATACTTCCAGGACCGGCCGGGCAAGGGATCCTGCTGGCCTTGCGCAGTCGGAACATACTGTGGGTAAGGCACACCGGACAGTGTATCTGGTGGGACAAGAAGGAATGAATGGTTTAAAAAAAATAAATGGTTTGAGAAAATAAGTTTAATTTTTAAGCAAGTGACTGGAGATTCCTTCTTAGTTTTTAGTTTTAGTTAGTGTTTTATGTCGCATGCAACACAAGTCGATGATATAAGTACCGAAGTTTGGAGGTGTTACTAGGGAGTTACATACAAAGAAAAGATGGAGGAGGGATAAGGATGGTACACATTGGAAAGATTGGAAAGAAGGAGCAAACTACACCAGAGCTTCCGCCAATCACCTACAGATTCCTTCTTCTGTCATGTACTGCCTTCTTGAAACTGCACTGATGCATTTTTTTTTCTTTTATAGCATAGGGTCTTGAATGGTCATTTGTTCTGTATAGTATTGTTTCTCTGTTTTCCTTGTTTTTATTTCCTTATGTCTTTCCCTCCATCGCGCTATTGTAAACTCTCATATCCAAACTTTGCTACCATAAATGTAGAAACGAATATGGTTATATGATACTCATGTTTCACTTCTTATTCATTAATCGCAAGTTTTTTTTCCACAATTTTTATTGTTCATCATGCATTTTATATTCATTGCACTGTGGGTGTGCAGCACCTTTATGATAATTTATGTGTATCTTGCCAGTGAACCAGCGTGCGTTTCATGTGATGTGTGTGGAGCAGGGCATGAAGCTGTCCACATAGCCTCTACAAACTGCACAGCTTGTACGCCAGGTATGGTAAACAAACATTTTATCTCCTTCCTAACCGACAGCGACCTGAGCTTTTCTCTACTGGGTTGAGTTCATGTTTCTTGGCACATGATAGTGCTGGAGGCAATAAACGGGATGTCCTGACATAATCCATCCAGCCGCTTGTGCATTTTCATAGCGGCGTTTACATTTGTCTATTATAATGCATATAATGTAATCATTCCCTGCTGTATTCGTTCTGTGAATTAATTGTTTTTTATGAGTTTTCGGTTCTGGTGTAGAAATGCAGTGTATAAATGTGTTTCTTAATTAAAATTGTGGTCTGTTATTTGATTGTACTAAATTACATTTTAGAAAAAGGAAAATTAATTCATGAATGCACATATTGTTTTCACAGGAAATTATAAAAAAGACAATGGGGCACAGTTGTGCAAAAAATGTGCGCCCGGGACTTACACAGTCCTGTCAGGATCAACCAATTGTACTGTTTGCCCTGAAGGTTCTTTTTGTCCGGTAAGTTTTGATGACTGTATAAAGACTGACTGGTTAAATACGTTTGAGGCTCCTTCTCCGCCTTCTCCCTCCATTCCTCCTCCTTCTCCCTCCCTTCCTCCTCCTTCTCCCTCCCTTCCTCCTTCTCCTCCTCCTTCTCTTCCTCCTGCTTTTGCTCCTCCTCCTTCTCTTCCTCCTGCTTTTGCTCCTCCTCCTCCTCCTCCACTTGTCTTACTGACATGACCATTTTTACATTTAAACAGCACAGAGAAAATGAATTCTACCTTCCTCTCAAATGGATCATGACGTGACCCTTTGTGAGAGAGAGCGACCCATGGTACAAAGGGAAACCTGGGGATCTCGTGGCCTAAAGGTTAAGGTGTTCACCTCTCATTCAAAGGTCCCGGGTTTGAATCCGGGTAGCAGCGGAAAGATTTTCTTCTCTAAAATTGTCTCCTCTCACCTCCTTTCCTGCTCTCTTGCAATTATGTTCTGTGGTCTGCTTTCATCTCCACTTTTTGCCCCCACCCTCTCACCTCCTTTTCCCTCTCCTCTGGGCTCCTGACTCTTTCTGCAGCTTTTCTACTGCTATTCCTTGGCTCCTTCTTACTGCCGTCTTTCAGCCACACCCCTGATCTTCTGGTAGGAAAGATCTACACCTAGCCTTCTTGGACTAGGACGGAAAATTTCGGAGGTCCCATGTGCAAGTTGCGCATGTTAAAGATCCCTTGGTGGTCTAAAATTGATAAGAGTAGGCTTCACCGTCACCCGGCAGCATTCAAAGTTACCTACCAACTGAAAATGTTTAATGTGTCCCGTTTGCTCATATGACCTTATGCAGTTGCGAGTGCAGTAAAATACTTACCCCCCCCCCCCCCCCCCCCCCCAAAAAAAGGGGAGATCTTTCCTGAAATGCTATTAAAGCTATTTTATTACCTAGTTATTTTTTAATTTTTAATTTATTTAGTTATTTTTCTTGGATAAGTGTTTTCCGATGCTCGCAACTGCATAAGGTCATATGCGAGGCATCGTGGTGAAATCAGGCGCTCGTCAAAATAATGAAATCAAAGATAATATATGCATTTTTTCCTCCAATTTGACAATGATTTCTAATTAATCTTTTTTGGCTCAACACCTTATATGTCTATGTAAAAACACATGTCTGTGTGGATTTTACTGGAAAACATTTGTTTTTTTAAGGCACAACAAATGAACATTTTCAGTTTCCAAGGACTCTCAAGCTTTGGAAATCACCCAACTTCAGCGGCCATTTTCTCGCAAATCTTACCTCTGAAATCAGGCGACCCCAGCCTCCTTCAACCGCAAATATCTCATTTTCTATTCAAGACGGACGTGTATTTTTCTTCATCAAAAGATGGTCAAATGAACATGCTTTAAGGTGATACCAATAAGTCCTGATGCCCCAAAATTGACGAATGCGTGATTCTACCCTGCCGTGACACATAGATCTATGAGCATGTGGGACACATTAAGCATTTTCAGTTTTGTTGTAATTTTGAATTTCGCCCGCATGGCCTCCGTAGCCTACCCTTATTGATTTTAGGACCGCCAAGGGATCTTGAACGTGCACAACCTACACACGGGACCTCCGTGAGTTTTCGCCCTTATTCTAGAAGGCTAGGAGTTCAATCGTACCTACCCTAAGATCAGGGGTGTAGCTGAAAGGCAGCAGTATGAAGGATCAAAGGAGTAGCAATAGAAAGGCAGTGGAAAGAGTTAAGACCACATAGAAGGTAGCAAAGGATGGAAGGGGGGGGGGGGGCAAAGGCATAACATACAAAAGGAATCTAAAACATGTAATGACGTAACGTAGTTACATAAATATTAATCAATAGAGAGAGAGAGAGAGAGAGAGAGAGAGAGAGAGAGAGAGAGTCCCAGAGCAAGGGGGGGGGGGGCAGAAAGTGAAGTCGAGAGCAGATGACAGAACAGAACTTGATTAGAGAGCATGAAAGGAGATGAAATGAGAAAATTTTTAGAGAAAAACATTTTCTGTCACTGTCAGGATTCAAACCCGGGACCTATTGACTAAGAAGCGAACACCATATCCTGGAGGCCACGATAGCCCCCTAACCTATGTTTACTCCCATTTACATCAGTCAGTAAAAAAATGTTGCTGTCTTTTACACTGGTTGGCTGGAAACTGTCAACTCAGCTCAACATCACCATCGTCATCATCAATCCAGTCGTCTTTTCTACGTTGGGGTGCCAGAGATGATTTTTCTACTCATCTATCTCATTTGACGTGTTTGATTGCTGGACTTGCTCATGCCTCATTTCATCAGCAAGCTGTTGAAATGTACTAAGCGCAGAAAGCAAAATTTTACAGGAGAGAGAAAAAAATGTTTCATTCCTTTACCAATTGTACCTGCATTATGTATTTTGATCTAGCTTTTTTTTCAGCATGTAGAACTTGAATTTTGACAAAATGTTTCTTGAGCACATGCAACGGATGCCACTAATTAAGAAACTGCATTGAAAAAAAAATTTGCGGTAAGAAGATTTAACAGCTGGCCAACGATATATTTTCTGACCTGCTCTCTCTGAGATGTTATCCTTCCCTCTTTTCTTCCATCATCTTCCTCCCTTTCTGTCTTCTGGGACTGTGCCCTGCAGCACAAAGTCTTTGCTAGTCCATTTGATCGTGTGTTGTGTTCACTCCTTTTGTGGGTGGTTGGCAGATGCTGTGGTGTGGTTTACTCTTTCTTTCCTTTCAAACATCTATTTTCATAATTTCTCCTTTTTTTTTGTTTGTTCGTTGCTCTCTTGTAACACCTCTAATCTTTGGCATGTATAGACCTAATTGTGTTGCAAGTACTGTAAAATGCTTACTGAAACAATCACTTCATTTCAGATTTAGTCCTTTTATAGAGGACAGCAGGTCATAGCAGGGCCTGTAATCACACGCAATTCTTTCCAAGACTTCTGCATTACTTATGCTGAAGTAGTTCAGTTCAGCGTTGCATGTGGTCTGGTGAGCGTGCCTTGATAACTGAAGCGCGGCTGTGACCAAAGAAAGCTATATATATCCGCTACAGGATATGTTACTAAAAGTGTGATTTCGCAGTGAAGATAGGGTCTATTGTTTACATATGGGCACGCAAATCAAAGAGGAGTTATTCTTCTTTACAATAGCATTTCATTCATGTTATCTTTGTAGGATATGCACTGGAGTCCTTGATAACACTTTATTTCCAGACTTTGAAGAATCTTTTCAACTCAACATGTCTTTCAGCAAACGGACCGTCTCCCTGTCCCTTGCACTGAAGGTAGCTATTGTCCTGAAGGATCCACCTACCCCCACCACTGCTCGGCCCCATTTTTCAAGATTAACGATGAAAGAGATGGTTGTAAAACGACAACAGAATTTATCGCACTGGTTGCGAGTGTCAGTGTTGGTAAGCGTGTTTCTTTTGTTTTAGTTAATGTTTTATGGCACTTGCAACACAATAAGGTCATATAAGTGCCGAAGATTAGAGGTGTTGCAAGAGAGTAACATGCGAAAAAGAATGAGGGGAGATGGGGACGATAGATATTTGATATTTGATAGGAAAGAAGGCGCAAACCACACCAGAGCACCTGCCAACCAGCTACATTGGTAATGGTGTGCATCTTTGCCTTGAGAGGTAAAAGTAAAGTACAACCCCACATGTCTTTGCATATCGCGATGCTCACAGCTTGATGTTTCCTGTTTCTGCAAGACACTGCTGAAACTCCACTGTGACCTTCATAGTGAACCTGTATGTTGCACTCATGTTTGGAAGGGAGGGGGGGCTTTGCTTTACTTTTACCCCCTTAGGATAACACCTTTAATTACTGGTTCGGGAATATTCTGATGTGGTCTTTCTTTTGTACTTCTTATATAAATTTCTTTTTTAATTTTACTGTTGTCTTAATGTTTCCGTAAGAAGAAGTGGGGGATGACATGTGGAAAGCCTTCGCTTCTTGCTGGGGGTCTTTCCGAGATCTGTGCGATTTAACTCAATAAGTCATCATCCAAGTTTATTCTGGAAAATTAAACCTATGCATCTTCTGTATTGTTTTCAGTTAAAAACATCGGCGAAATCAGTGGGTAAACTTGTTTATTTTGTGTTTTCTTGACCCTATCATAAATCTTGACGTTCTCTGTTGTGGGTTTTCACTACCTTATGTCATCCAAATGGCCATAACTTTTGAGCCGTTGAAGATATTGGCATGAAATGAAAGTGCAAATTACTTACAAAGATATCTTGAATCAGAATATGTGCATATGTCTCATAAGAAAATGTTTACTCATGTGAAGGGTTTTCTTGTGCCGTTGTACAAGTGCGGGCATTATCCTTCTGTCTTGTTCCGGATTTAAACTGAACAGCAAAAATATTTATTCCATGTAATATTGATTCTTGTCCCTCTGACCGTTACAGTATCACCAGTGGGTGTTGTTTTTTTCTAGTTTGTAACAATTCTACTAAAAAAAAATTGCCATAAAAATATCCTTTCTAGCTCGATTTAAACCTACTAAAACTAAAGATTATTGTGACTGTAGATCTTTTATAGTGGCATCTCTCCTTACCTGTATTACCTGTCCTGGGCAACAACGTCATTGCATACCGGACAGGTCCATAAGTGCTCAGTTCCCCCCAGCACCAAAGCCCATAAGGTATCTATACTGATTGCTCCTTAATGTAGAGCTATCATATAATGTAACAAGAAAGGGGCAAAAGTACAATATACTGAGGAACATGAGATCTTATCTTATCCGAGAACAACACACTGAGACCTTTAAATAAAAAAGACCTAGAAAACTCCGTGCCATGTGAGAGAGCAAATGTGAGCTGCTTTTGTTTAGTTAGAGTACATGTTCTGTAGAGATATCCATTATTTGGTCATGTAAAATGGGGTGCCCATTGGCACGATCGGTTTGGTTTGGTTTATTTCAGTTTGCTAGCCAGATTGAGAGCGCAAAGCGGCTATCGTGGCACAAACCGATTGCTCGACTAGTCGCCTTCAAAACAAACGCAAATTTTCAATATGCAAACAAAAAGAGCTTTACTTTACTTTACTTTTTTCTTCCGCTTGTACCGGTGGGTGTCGTGGGGAGATATAGACGTCTGTCTGAAGCAAGGCGAGCGGCCTGTAGGAGGGACATCCCGTGAGCTCTGAGCTGCTACAGATTCACTCCAACGTTGTTTTGGTCTTCTTCTGGCTCTCTGGCCTGAATATTTGATATTATATTCCCTCAGAGCTGGCTGGTTTAGGGCATCCGTGTGAGGTGTCCGAACCACTTGATCTTTTGATTTTCAATGTATGATAGGACTGGTGTTGCTCCTACCGTGTCCCTTATGATTTCACTTTTTATTTTGTCTCTTCTTGTCTTGTTAACCGCTCTTCTTAAACATTTCATCTTGCATGTGACCAACTTCCTCTCTAGGGCTTTTGTTCGGGACCATGTCTGGCGTTGATATCTGAGTGTTGGTAGGAAAATGGCGTTGATGAGCTTCGCCTTGGTGCTGATGGGATGGGGTTATTGGGATGTTTCAGGAGAGGGGCAAGTTGATATCTGACTGCATTGGCTTTCTGGCATCTAGTCTCTCTATTTCTCTATCTAATTTTCCATTTTCTGTGAAAATGCTACCCAAGTATTTGAATTCGCTGCTTTGTATTAGTTGGGATCCATTGATGTTGGTATCCACTTTGTCTGGTCTCCTGTTAAGCTGCTCAGTGATTATCCAAATAACTCTTCTATTTTTCCCTCCTCAGTGGCTGCCATCATTGCTATCTTTGTGACAGTCAAGATCGTGCGGTCATGTCGTAAACACGGCTCACTGTCCTTCAGTGTGGAGAACAGTGAACGTCAGCCCCTGGCCTCGGTGGAAGTCAGTGGAAGCTCGAGCAACCCACCGGTCTACCAGGGATTGTGATGACCGCCGCAGTGCCGGCGTGTTGAGTGGCAGGGAAAGACAGGGCTATTCCATGGTAACTGACGGGATAGAAAAAATGCCTAATTTGTCCCGCCAAAACTAAACACGTCACAGAATTTGCATAAAGAATTTTTTTTTTTCAAATGACTGCATTTTATATGATTCCTAATGTCTTTCAGAAGTTCTGGTCATTTAAAGTTGAAATAAATTAATTGATATTGAATTGCAGGCTTATCATTGTAAGGAAGTATAGTCCAAATGTCCTGTCAGTTACAGTGGAATAGCCCTACAGAGTCTGAAGGGTGTGAATAAGAAAATTAGAAAAAGAAAAGGAAATATAACTTTGTTTTTCAATGTTGAAAGATTTGTACTGACATGCAGAGTCTGAAGGTTGTGAATAAGAAAATTAGATTGATTGCTTTGTGTAAAACTTCGCCATACACCATTTGGAAAAGTGACGTACGATGGAGTCTTATACTGAGCATTGGAGATAAAGAAAAGAACAATATAACTTTGTTTTGTTTATCAATGCTCAAAGACTGTTATAATGACCTATTGACAAAGACAGTTTGAATTGTTCAAAAAAATGTTAGTCAGTTTACTGGTTTCCACAGACGAGTGTCTCTGGTGACATGGTTAGACCCTTTGCCCTACAGGCAAAAGATGTCAGTTTGATTCTCACTCTCGAAGTATATGTTATTTATAGTTTCTGCGTCTTTCATCCCGACTGTATCTCACACAGTTGATGTTGGCTCTGGTCCCTGACACGCAGGGTTGAAGCATCCTGCCTCCTAAATTATCTAGCTTGTGTCAGTGGGGGACTTCAAACAGTTGCTACTTAAAATTTTACAACTGTTGGTGACCACAGTGCAGTACCTAATTTTTTTTTTTTTTTAAAGCTTAAGTGTATGCATTTTGTTCAAGTATGCCCTTGTGTGAGCTCTCATCTAAAAGTGGTCACACAGATATTGCTTGACATTCCTTATAATAACAACAGCAGTAAATGTATGATTTAAAAATGGTTTATAAAAGGTGAATGAAGATCAGAGGTGGTAGAGATAAACAGGGCAGGGGGAGGGGAGGGGGGCACTGGATGGACAAGCCTGCTGAGCTGGCTGGAATTAGGAAATGCCTCCAGGAATGTTTGCATGCGGTGGTTGATGATTGAGAAGTGTGGGAGATGTTGATTTATCCCCCTCGTCCGAGGACATGGTGTGTGTGATGATGATGGTGGTTGTGACCCCACTCCCCCGTGGTTGTTGAACAGAGGTTGTCTACTTGGCTGTTTCATTGTTGACTGTACGGTGTGATCTGTAAGCTGTACTCCTGGTGAAGTTTCCATGACCAATGATTATGAAGGTGTCCCCACCCGATCTCCTTGTGATGTGGTCGACAGGCTGCCACTTCTGTTGTTAGTGTGTTGATTTTTCAGCCATTTCATTGCTCTCTGTGGGGTGAAAAGTGGAATGAATTCCTGCCCCAGGCACCGTATGCTCGCTCTGGTTGTGCCTGAAGTTGTGAGTGAATGGTTTCAACAAAGGTATAAATAAACTCTTTGTGCTTTTTACTCAAGGTTTGTGGCTTGAAAGAAGGGAGAGCAGAATTCTGCTGGTTTAAAGCAGTACTCACACGTGATTCTGGTGCAAATATTTTCCTGATATATAAAATACTCAATGAATTCCAGACACTTAGCATTTTTGCTAGTGCAGCTCGCAAGGACCATTTTTTCCCCAACTTATGAAAACAAAAGTGCTATGTTATTTGTGTATCAAAAGTTAGTCAGTTTCACTCTAAGTAGGTGACTAGAAAAAACAACCATGCGTATCTGGAGGTAACATAGACTTTTGGAATGTAACATGAGTTTTAGTACATGAAGAAATGACTGAGTGTGTATTTTGAGCATCAATGTGTATGCAGACATGACATTTCACTTTCATTTCTGTTAACCATTTCTTAGCATGATGGCTGTACTCATGTTTCCTTTCACGACGCCAGCAGAGTAGCAGATGAAATTAACAGGAAAATCCCTTCACCTACTTCTAGTCTAGCAGTCTTTAACAAATTTCCTTAAATTATGTATGTACGTACCTTTTCAGGAAATGAGAACGGTGGTGCTTCTGAGTTTTTTTGCAATTTAGAACTCTCGTTTTACTCAAGCATTGGGTTTGAGTAGTGTATGTAGCATGGGCTTTTCATAAGTCAGAAGTTGTAGGGGTAGAGTTAAAAAGTTGGTAATAAAATAACAAAAGTAACTCAGCTAGACATTGTCTCCATAGCTTGCCTTGAGCGGCTCAGTTGTTGAGCGAATAGAGAAGGTGTTGATTTATATCTTGGCAACTTGTTACATCATGCGGGGATAAGACATGAAGATTTGTTTTCAGCGAATGCTTATCTGACTAAATGTTCCATCTAATGACATTGGAGCACTTGTACATTTTTATATTGATATTTCCAGGTTCTATATTTATTCTGTAATGATCAGTGATATAGATGCTATTTAAATTTTGTTTGTATTTAATGTTACTTACTCATTCATTTATCTCTCACTCAATCCTTTTAATCTATTTACTGCTTGCATTTTTTTTTTCTCAGTGCCTCCTTTTTTTCATTTGTGTGTAAAAACTTATTCAATTTATTGGGGTCAGAACAAAATGTTTATTTTTCCCCTGAATTTTATTTTCTCTTCCATATGAATTGTCATAGCATCATGTTTATTTTCACATGCTCAATTATTGTGCCTGCAATTTTGGTTGAAAGTTCAGGGATTCTTTTGTATGCTACGTTTCGTTCCTTTTTTTTTTTCCTGCCCCTTTAACCTTCTTTTGTCATGTCTTCTTAGTGATGTGTGAGATTCAGTCCTATTTTTTAATTCCTTCCTGTTTGTACAAAGATATTTCTGTCCTGTTTGTGGAGTCAACTGTGAAAGATGTATGTTTATAGGTTTGATGCCGGTATCAACGCTATGATAGCTTATTTATGAGGCGGGGCATCCAAATTTAATATCGGTTTCCAATAGGGCAAGCCAAATGGGTTGAGAGCCTTGAAAACCCACAAAATGGTTCGAGTTTATGTACACCCAGTTTGGGATTTGAACCAGGGCCATCTGCTTCCTAGTTCAGCATGATACCTAGCTAACGGAGTGCCCTGTGATAGGTGGAGGACAAAGACTGCAAAGACTTTCTTGACATATGTCCATGGTTTAGTGTCCTTGCCTAAAAATGAGAACTGTGAACGTTTCAAAGTTAACCAAAACTGATTTTGTTTTGCAAAAAGTTGATCAGAAGCCCGTCATGTCAGTGAGCTATGAGAATTTTGCTTGAGGTTTTTTTGAGAGTTTGTGGTTGCCTTCCTATAAAGGTGTCACCCAAACTTGAACCGTTCACCCTTACATCCCCAGTATCATATATTTCCTTCACGAGTTCTCATTCCCCCAGGCTCTGTATCTTATATTTCTCTCACAGGGTGCTGCCAAACTCAGATGCATATTTATATCTTCTAAAACTTCAACTTCAAACAAAGAAGTAAAGAAATTTATTAAAATATCTGCCAAAAAATTGCAGACACAATCAGTAATTGACTGGGCCCGAGGAGTCGAGAACTCCCTTCAGTATTACCTGGCCTCTGTCCCTGTGCTGTAAGACTATGTCTCGTTATGTGCGACGCGAACGATGAGTCGCTAGTTGTGTAACCTTTTGCGCGACAACATTACACGCCGTGTCGACCGGCACTCCTTGGCTTGGTATTTCGACTAATGGTGATGCTTGAAACCTGTTGCATCTCCAGTCTGTCATGTGCGATGAGGTCTTGATTGCTACATGGACAGATCGCTGGCGACAGTCGTGCGCGGCTAGACGTAGCGACGTGCGTAAGGAGACGCGTTCTTTATAATCTGATTGATTTTGGAGTAGCAAAGACCGTGTGGGATGCTACATTGTGTCATGCATTAGGAGACACACTCTAAGGGCTGAACTTCTACCTGTCACCACACCTGCTCAGTCAGTGAGCTTACCCAAAACAGATTGGGACATCATTAGACAAGACTGTAAAAGGGGTGTGGGTGGTTGATGGATGCGCAGGTGTGGTTTATTCCTTCTTTGCCATCAAACATCTATCATCCTTTGATATCTCCTGCTTCTTTTCTTTGTATGTTACTCTCTAGTAACTCCTCTAACCCTCAGCACTTATATGACCCATTTATTTTGCAACTGCCGTAAAACTCTCTCTTAAACTAAAACTCACTCTTTTTTACAGCTTCTCCGTGGGGTTGCTGTCTTTCCTAAAGAAAAATATCGCCTGAGATACTAAACTGGGTGTTGATTGCTGATATTGAACAGTTCTCAATTATTGTGTGATTAGCCTTAGATTATGCAATCCTTATCATGATATTATTGTTTGCAACTGGCCTACCCGACCAATGTGAATCTAGTGAGAGAGAGTTTATTTTACTTAAAATTAAAAACTGATGGCCTCAAGTTTTGTTTTGTTATGGCTTCCTTTCTAATAATAAGAGGATTTTTCCTTTTTAAAAAAAAATTGCTTTGGTATGAGCTGGTTTGGTGATTTTTATTGTTGTAGTTGAACCACTATGCAAAAACAATGCTTGAATAGAAAGAACATTCCTGATTCTGATTATCTCAAACCTGTATTGTACATGATTCAAGAACACAGTGGAGTCCGCTTAAACTGAAAACTGTGGGACAGCCCGATTTTCTTTGGTTAAGCTGGGTTTTCGGTTTAGAGAAGTTGCTCAAATAGAAGAAAGAAAAAATGTGGGATTTTCTTTCCCTTCGGTTTACTGCTGTTTTTGTATTAACCGTGTTTGGTCTAAGTGAACTCCAATGTATAATGTATATATTTACATTTTATACTCATTCCCCTGTCAGTTGTTACGTGGTTTGTGACATGTTTGCATTTACTAATCATTTTCACATGTTAATATTGACCCTGAAGTTGTTATGTTTTTTTTCTTCCAAAATGAGTAGAATTTAGAATTCAATGCCCTTGATTACAAAAAAGTGTGTCCATAGTTGTGTGTAATAATGTGTGATAAGAAGCATCTTCCTAAGCTTGTCTTGTTGGGTTGGGGAAAACATAAAAATGTGAACAGTTTAAAAGCTATAAAGACACACACAGTATGTCCTTCTGTTTCCTGAGATGGTATACTTGTGTGGTATAGGTGCAGTCTTTTCCCTAAATCAGGCCTGTGAGATGGGAGTAGCTCTGATGTGTGTGGGTGAATAAAGAGAAGGCTTTTTCTTGTCGTTATCAGCCAATGAATTAATGCAGCCTTGTCTATCCCCCTACATGCTGTGTCAGAATAAATTATTACGTATTATGTGTATATACTGAAAATAACAAACAAACCCAACCCCAAACCATTGTCACTATCGAGTGTGGGATTTTTTTTTCAAGCAGCCATGACATCTCCCATAACTTGAAAGGACAGTTGTCTCCTACTTTTCAACACTTCCTTATTATTAACCCCATTGTTATTATTTTTGTTATTTGGAAAGAAAAGTTTTGTTATTATTAATTATTACCATGGTTATTATTGTGATAATTTTGTGGATTAGAATCCTTTTTACTCTGCAACCTCCGATGCTTCCACTCCACACTTTGGTTTCCTTTGTTCCTTTACCGTCGTTTGTAGTTCACCAATATTCTGAAGAAATTAACCCAAAAAAAGCACTTTCTTTGCCCCTGTGTGGTAGTAACATATTGTTGATGTCCGCCTCTAACTGTGTAGCTGCCAGATTAGGTCAAAGACCTTTCTCGATCTCAAATTATGATACTTACAATTGGAATACCAATTTGTAAACAAATGACAGTCCTTTATCAATGCTTGCCTGAGGAAGATAATGAAAATCCATGGCCTGGACATCATTAAAAATGTAGTACTGCGGAAGTGAACCAAACAATAGACAATTGACTGTGAGATATAAAAAAAAAGGAGATGGCAACGGACTAGACACCCACTCAAGAAGACAGCACACAAAGTGATAAGACAAAGTCTGAGATAAAACCGACGGGGGAGGAGAAAGAGAGGAAGGCCAAGATCCACCTGGGAGTGAGATCTAGAGGCGGATATGGGACACAGCTGGCTGGAGGTGGAGAAGATTGCCCTGATTATAGACGGATGGAAAGCTCCTTTTGGGGGCTTGTACGTAATACTACGGGGAAAGAGACGAATGATAATGATACTAACTGGTGGTACAATAATATGTAAAAAGAACACTTCACAAAATTTGGAGCAATTCCAGTAGATACTACTAAAGGAATTACATTTTTTCCCCTCACTTTTCTGAAAGTCAGTGTTCACACATTTCCAAGGTTAGATGCAGACATCGACAATATTATATATATATATATGTGTTGCATACACACAAAATGCGCAAACCGTTGATTATGACAGAAAATGTTTACAGTAATTTAACCTCCCTTCTATAAATAGTGTCACCAATATTGTTTGACTTTGTTTATAAGCTTGTATTTACCATCCACTCAACCAATGTGTTATGGTTGCCATCTGCTACTGTTTCAAAGTTAACTGTTTTGTGATTCATATTGTTTGATTTTGCATAATTTCCTATGACTGATCAGTATCTTCTTTGAGAACATATTATTGGCGTTAATGACTGTGAGAAACTAATAAGTATTGGGTTTTTTTCGCCTTCACATCATTAAAAATAATCCTACTTTTTCTGTCCCTTTCTCTATCCAAAAGGAAAAAAAAAGTTATTGTGCAATATGCATGGGGGAAAGGGACAATGATTGTCAGTGAGTGAGCTGGTTTCTTGTTTCATTATGTACCCAGGACAGTGAATGTTTGAATGGCTTGTTGTTGTTGTTGATCCTGTTGTTGTTATTGCTGATCTCGTAACTATGCGTTTTTTTTCCATTACACTTGATGCTATCTGGTTGAAAGTTTTTGTCAGTTTCAATTGTTTTCAGTGGGTTTTTTTTTTTTTTCAGAAAGTTTGAAATGGTTGGCATTGTTTGAAGAAAATACTTTCAGTTCAGTGACTTGTGGTTTTTGTGTGTATCAATACCTTGTGCAATACTAACATTGCTTGAAAGCCAGTGGCTGTATCAGTCTTGTTTCACTGTCATGCTCATGGGTGGTTGGCAGGTGCTCTGGTGTGGTTTGCTCCTTCTTTCCTATCAAACATCTGTCATCCTTATCCTTCCTCCTTTTTTTGTGTTTGTTACACTCTTGTAACACCTCTAATCTTTGACTCATATATTACCTAATTGTGTTGTAAATGCTGTAAAACTTTTACTTAATAAAATAAAACCCGCAACCCATTGTCATGCTGTCTAACCTCACATCTCCTTATGTAGACTTTCTCTCTCGAATTATGCACCTGGAGATAAGAGGTCTGGTTGTGACAACGAAGCTATGACAGTAACGTTTGTGAGTGCTGGCCAGATACACGGACTGTTGGGAAATTTCACTGAGTGTGTTTTCCGTTGAGTATTCTTCTGTGATTTAACACAATGTAGCCTTGATGTACGAATTTTGACATAACAAACCTTTGTTAAAGAGATGACATTACACCCGCCGTCTCATGACAGAAAAACGTATATGCCAAAAAGCACCAGAAGTTTTACAGGAGAGGCAAAAAACTAACTATTTGTATGGGTTTCAACTTAACTAAAATTTGTTCGTTCTGATTATTTTATGTCAGTATTCATTGGCCGGTGTGACTTTTGTATGATTTGCTGAGGTGTACCGTAAAATATACGTATGGAGTAATTGATTAAAATTTATTTTGTCATAACAATATCGATATCTAATTAGGTCAACAAACATTATTGCAAAAGCACAAAATTTCCTTAATTGTAATTATACAGCCATAAAACCAAGATAGAAAGATGCGCCATTAAAAAAGGGTTTCTCCCCTCTATAAAAACGCTGTTTAATCTAATTACTCATACATATATATATATAAGTTTTTTTTGTCAAAAGGCGACAGACATACTCTATACTACAGCACATTTCAACTGCTAAGTGTTTTTAATATACCATTTTGAAAAGTGATGTAGGATGGCCTCTCGCACTGAGCAATCACTTTGCATTCACTATTTTGATATGAGAGACCTAAGACTTGAGAAACCCATTCTCTCCAAATCACGTTCCAGCATAAATGCACGCGCTTGTTTTACTGTCCAACATTCTCATTATGTTTTTGAAATGAACCCAAATTAGATACAGTATAACAGGGATAGGTCGAACACAGAAGGCTCTAAACCGGGCATCCGTCAAACCGGTTTTTTTTTTCTTCTTCTTTATCTTTGTAAGGTATCCCTCGAACAATTGGACCACTCGAACTACCGAGGCCGGTCCTAACAAATTGTAGCTATCTGTGTTATGCTGTATTCACTTATGTATTTTTCTAGATGATGTTTTCCTGGTCACAAAGAAAAGTGATGCACTATCTATTAGTCCGAAGAAGGAAATCTTTTAAAACTGACATCACAGAAAATTTTGTTATCAGAAAGAGGAAAAAAGCTGTGGTAGGCGGAAAGAGGTCACAGATACATGAGGTCTCTGCTGGGATCTATTATTTTTGGTTTAGCAAATACGAACAATTTGATTTTTCAATACATATTTAATTAAATTTGTTATTGAGAGGAATATATATATATATTTATTGTGTTCGTGAGAATTTCCTTTAAAAGGGAGTTTTGAGCTGTTATTTTTGTTTGGTACCGATATTTGATTTATATGTGAAAGAAAGTTATCAGGTTCTGCATGACATGCTGGTGAATTGAAGAACTGTAGTGGATCTTTTCACAGTGTTATTTGCTATTGAGGCCATTCAGTTTTTGGGGTGGTTGCATGTTCTAGCATGCTGTAAAGAATTATGGTCTAGTATATGTAGGCTGTTGATTGGACGTCACGTTTTTCTGTCCTTCTTTTTATAATACACATTGTGCCTTTCTCTACTAGACTCCTCTATAAACTCTTTTTGCTGGCTTTGTTAAGCCTTGTGCCTTTTATCTCCTTTTTTATTAACACCTTTCTTCCTTTCTTTGGTAACACACTTGCTTTTCTCTCCATCGATATTAACTCTGTTTTGTTCCTACCACAAGCAATCCACTTAGGTCCAAATTTAGAGAATTTTTTATTTTTACACCCTCTCAAATTAAGCTCTATCAAAGATGCACCTTTCAACACTGGTCAAGGCTTACAATTTTCTTGCTTTTCACGATTCTTGATAGTAGCAACACAGCAAAAACTATTTTTTTGTCTGTGACGTAAAAAGTACCTAAATGGAGTTAAGTGGATTGCTTGCGGCACCGACTGTTTGTTCCTTTTTTATTACTAGATTACATGTATTAACTGTGAGGGGCAGCGATAGTTTTATTTTGGTTTTCTCCCTCTCTATATATATACACACCTGCGTTTATTTGTTGATCAGTAATATTCCCACTTTGGTGCTGTTTCTTTTGCCAGTTGTTTAAACCTTTTTTTTGTTTTGTTGTCCTTATTTTTGCAGTGAGGGAAAAACCTTGAAGATTCTTCTGGTGCTTTTCTCAGTAGTTTTTAAACCTCCCCCCCCCCTATTTTTGCTGTGAGAGAAAAATGTTGAGGATTCTTCTGGTGCTTTTCTCAGTAGTTTTTAAACCTCCCCCCCCCCTATTTTTGCTGTGAGAGAAAAATGTTGAGGATTCTTCTGGTACTTGTTTTGCTGAAAGTGTCGCTGTCTAAGTTGGGGCTGTTCTTCGGTAAGGAACATCTTTATTCATAAGCAGCCTTTTGTATTGCTTGTAAGCCTGTCCTTGACTTTTTGAGGAGGTATCAAGGCACATGAATAGCTGTGTTGACATCAAAGTGTGGGTGGTTGACGGGCGCTCTGGTTTGGTTTGGTTTTTCTTTTCTATGAAACATCTATCGTCCTTATCTCCCCGTTTTCTTTTTTTTAGGTTTGTTACTCTCTTGTAACACCTCTAATCTTCTGGCGCACATATGACCTTATGCTGTTGCGAGTGCCGTAAAACCTCTACTAAAACTAAAAAATCTTTTCAAAATGTCTGTGACACTGACGACACAGGAGGTTCAGTGATATTTTTTGGTACCTTGCATGGTCTTTGAGGTGGCAGTTTTTTTGGGGTGATATTTTGGGACTGGGCTGACTTGTTGGTCTTCCTTATTTTTAGGGCCAAAATCTTTTTCCAGGTTGAATTTTTACATTTGTTAGTGACTTTGTCATTTTGTTTTGTTGTTACAGAGAAAAACAGAACATACCGGTACTTTTGTATTGTGTTTACTTATTTAAAATTCTCTGAAACAATAAGCAATTCTAGACTTGAGCTTCATTCCTTTTTCATCTCTTTGCTTCTATTTCATATTTTGATTGTGTTAGCTATGGGACTTTTGCATTGTCACTGTGGTATGATGCCTCTCAAAACCCTGCGAAAATGATGTGTGAAGCTTGAAAGCTTCATATCTTGTCATTCACATGGTTTAAGAACCTTGCATAAGAGCCTTACAGAGCGTATCATGTGGGAATTGACAAAGTTAATGTGGCTTTTTTCTGTCTTGTTAGCTGAATAATGTTTGGTATTTTATAAGGGAAATATTATTTGATTCTCTGCTTAAAGAGAAAATGGACCTGTTGTTGTTTATGTTTGTGTGTTGTAGCATTAAGGTGTGATTATGTTATTTATCTCTCTTCTTCCCCTATCCCGCCCCTTTACTTAAATGTCAATGCTATAGTCTCCGCCTAAGAGAGATGATCTTGAAACTTACTATAGGTTAATAAGTGAAAATGGCATGCCACATGCCTCTGTGATTTGTCATCAAGGTTGACCACTCCTTGCTCACCATAAGTCTTGAACCCACCCAGGGGTCACGTCAGCTTATTATCGAGTGAAGGGAGACCAATTTACTGGTTGTGGGCCTGAACATAGGTCACCGTGGATTCTTCTCTTGGTCCGTTGGCTAAGATCCCGCATTTTCCTTGCCCCCGAGCACCGGGATCTTAGGTGGAGACTACTGTATATGGCAGTGTTTGTCTTATCTGTAAAAATGCTGGTTGATTGCCTTTAAATCTGTTGTTCTCTATTCTTTTGCATTTTCTCGACTCTGTTAGTGTTAACGGGTTTTATTAATACATTTGCCTGTTTTGATTGTTAATTTGTCGAAGACTTGAATTGTACATTTTGATTTCTAAAAATGTTTCTTAGTTTTTCTGTTGTTCTGACACTTACACTTAAAAAATTAATTTCAATTGTGGGAGACGGTGGACTTTCAGTTTTTGTTACTGAGTTTTTGTTACTGTTTAATTTGTGTTAACTTAAGACCATGGTTGTGGATGGTTGGCGGGTGCTCTGGTGTGGTTTGCTCCTTCTTTCCTATCAAACATCTATCGTCCTGATCTCCCCTTCATCTTTTTTATTATGTTTGTTACTCTCTTGTAACAGCTCTAATCTTCTGGCGCTCATATGACCTTATGCAGTTGCGAGCGCCGTAGAACCTTTACTAAAACTAAAAAAGACCATGGTTGTGGACACACGTGCTTGTGGAAAGTTTGCGTCTACGACAGTCTTGTGCTGTGTACATTGTGTTTTGGCACTTTGTCCTGTTTCAATGTTTTTGGGGCTTTGATAGCTTTGTGTTGCTTATTTTAGTAGCGCATGTTTTGGAACTTGATGACTGTGTTAAAAAACTGTTGTTTATGTGTGAACTGCGGACAGTATTGTACAAGT